GTTTTTGGATCCTTGTGCCGGGCAAGTGATTATGTAACCTCGTTTTTTATTGTTGTTACGACTTACAATCAAATCCTAATCTAATTAGATTTGGATTCGCTATGTCCGTACGAATATGCACCGATTGAGAATGTTGTTTTGGAAGTATTCCTTAAGATGGGTCCAATAATTGATGTATACTACGAATCCGATTCAAGGGGCCATGAGACATTTGCTTGAATTAGGATAACAAACTTTACTAGTTTTTCATTTCATTTAACTAACAGTTGAATAATACTTACATCAATGTTTTTAATATTCATTTTTCTAATTGGAATTTAGCCTAAACTTTATGAAAATAACATAAAATGTTTGAATATCGAATCCATAACAATAAATATTGGGGCTTATGAAACAACTTAATCATTTTAAGATTCCAACAAAACTACACGGATTTATCGATTTATTCAATCAAAATTGAGAGATTTAACACATATGTACAATTCGTTACTGATAACAGGGCCAAATACACAATTTAAGTGATAAAACAAACGTCAAACAAGCTTCATGCGGATTCTTTCACGGCTTTCTTGAGCTCCTCCGCCGCGTTTTTCTTCCCGCCGTAATCGACGGTCTTTCTTTTCTCGGAGGATCCGAAATCCATCGGCTCCGCCGGAAATTGACGGACATTTGTTACCACTTGCCGAAGATCTTCCACAGATCTCTTTAACTGTAAATTCTCCCTTTCAAGCTCCTCCATCTGCCTTCTCACGGCCAAACACGCCTCCACCACGTCAGCATTTCCGGGAACACCCGTACCCGAAACCCGACCCGGTTTCTTACCGGTTTTTGTTTCGTTGCCCTCCACGTGTTCGATTCCTATCTTGTTCATCACCAGAAAAGGAATCTTCTTCAGCGAAATCGCAGCCGTTGGATTAAAACCGTGCTTGATCTCCGTAGGAACCCTAATCCCCCATCGGAAATTCACGACGGCGCTTCCTCCCAGCGACATCGACGTCCTCGCCGCGACATCGACACCGGAAATCAATCCCGCAATGTCTCCGGCGCACGCAGAAGGCAGAACCGAGACTCTTTTAAATACTCCGGCGTAACCGCCGTCAACCGTCGGTACATCCACCACTTCAATTAACGAATCCTCCTCCGATACAGATCCGTCCACCGATTTGAGTTTGTGGCTACCGAAATCAAAGGAAGAATGTGATTTTTTAATCGAGAAATCGCCGAATCTCGGCTTGAAATGAAGCATGAAGCTAGGGTTTCCTTCGCCGAGGAGATTAAACTCGGCGCTCATTAGCATGGAGCTAGAGATCGGAGATCCGAAAGATCCAGTGCCGGTTTTGACGATAAGAGAAAATGGATTCCAAGTGTCGTTGGGACGATAAGCGATCTTAAAGGAAGGACCAGAATCGAAAAAAGTTGAGAGATTAAGGCTTAGCTCTTTTGATTCTCCGGCGACTATCCCTGATTGAAACGGTAAACCGACGATACTCAAAGGAACCTTAGCCTTTAAAATCGGTTTTTGCTCTTCTCGAAACTTCATTGACGCCTTCATCTTCTTCTTCGGAAGATACCCAGAAATCGGTGAGGGAGAAGAGAGGAAAATTCGACGAATTTGATTCAATTTTGACAAGAGACTAATGAGAGTGTAGTGATAGAGTGAAGATTTATACGAATTTTTCTTAGATTTTGCGTTTGAAAAATATTTTATTTTCTAAAATTTGTTCAGATTTGGCAATTTTGTAGATTAAAATCTCAGGCGGAGAATCCGCTACACTTTGGCTGGAAGTGATTACATAATAAGACTGTGTTTTCCCGCTTTTACCCTTAGGTTATACAAAGAATTACATAGAAGGTCTGATGGTTGGTCTTGTAATTTTGGTGGAAGTCCCGAGGCCAAAAGATAAGCTTAAGAGAATTTTACCGGTGAATTTGAAATTCAAAACAGAGCAACAATAATAATGCTAGGCCAACAAGACTTGAGAGACGAAAGCGTAAGCTAAGTATGGGCTTCAACTTCAATGGCCCATGTTGGCCCATAATAACATTGTTAATCAGGAGGCCCTAAACTCGTGATTCACTATAGAGCTCACGTGCTAAAAGCCTAAAACCGATTAGAACTAATCACTAGATATATACTAGTCATTTTGTAGGCTTTGCACGCTAAGATTTTAATGGTTCTTGGTTTGCTTCTTTGGTCAGTCATGTTGGCTCGATTTGAACATATTTGATCAGAACACTTAATGATACACACCAAAAAATTTTCCCTTTTCTTCCTTTACCACACGAAGTCAAGAAGTGGATCGAATCCAGCCTCCGAAATTGAGCAGTATGTCCTTGAGAGAGTAAGAAAGAGATGGACAATTCCAAAATAAATGACATAAAGCTACAATTTCGAGTCCGTAAACAATTGTTTAGGAATTAGAAATAGCTAGTCATGACCAGAGCCGGCCTTGGTTTTGTCTGGGCCCAATCACAAATTTTTTTTGGCCCATTAGCAGTCGACTGTTTTAAAAAGCAAAAATTTCATAACCAATATTTGAACCTAAGTTCTAATACTATTAAAAGAGGCCAAGAGAAGACTTGCAGTACTAGAGGTGTTGCGGGTTTTTTACAAAATTATTGGCCCCTAAATATAATAAATGCTTCGGCGGTCCTAAGTACATGCTTCACCTGCTTCATGTCAAGGTCGCCTCTGGTCATGACTTTATGGATATAAACCTCAAATTTGATCAAGGCAAATGATTCTACGAATGATGATCATGGGTAGGTTGGTGAAATAAGAATATACTTATAAATTCCCATGACTTGATTTCCTTCTTTCCTAGTAGGGAAACAATACGTGTTAACATGCGGAACTCAATCATGTACTTCACATAAACAATACAAAAAAAATATAAGTTTTGTTTTAGCCAAAAAAAAGAAGAAGTTATGATCAATACAATAATCATGAGAAATATCTTATTATATAAAAAGGATGCGATGAGAGCATGATACGTTACACGTAAACAAAATTCTAATTCATCAGAACGCGACAAGAACTAATACTAAATAGATGATGACATGTGTTAACAACTAAAATGTATTAAGGAAAAGTAAAAATAAAAATTAAAAAGAAATAAAATAATTGTCAAATAAATAACAAAATAATAAAAAGAAAAATTTTCATATATTTCAAACTATTTAGGAAAATGGTAAATTTCGTTCTAAAATAAAATCTAATAGTTCAAACTAATTATAGAAGTTAATTAAAAAAATATAGAGAGTATAAACCGTAAACAAAAACAAAAAGTGAAGAGAAAATAACTTTTTTTATTTTAAATAAATAAATTTTTTAATTAAAATAAAAGAAATGCGAATGATAAAAAAAAGATATGATAGATGTTGAAAAAAAAATTAAAAAGGATATGAAAATCTTAATTTAAAAGTTTAAGATATTTACAACCATACCAAAGGAACAAAAAATCAAAATCTATAAACATAATTATTTTGTCAACATGGTTATAGAATATTACAAATAAAATGAAAATCTTTTACCTATAAAGTTATTGATACCTCTCGATGTTAAAAAAAATGTTGTATAAAAAATAAAAAACAAATGTTGTATAAAATGAAAATTTATACATGATAAAAAAAAATATATTTACTATTAAGATCTAAGAGTATTTAAAATTTGGCGAATATAGATCTTTATGAGAAAAAAACTAATGACATCAATGGAAAACATTTGTCAAACATGGATTTATATGTGATGCTTGATAAAATTGTTTATAAAATATTATATAGGTTTTTATGAGATTAGTCACATGATTTGTTTTCTT